ACCCTGACCTCCTCCTCATCCACCTCCGGGCGCCCGCCCGCGGCGCGGTGCACGCCCAGAACGTGCTGCGCGATCATCTTGTCGCGCGCCATGGAGCGCTCGTCCTTGACGATGAAGATGAGGTCGAAGCGGGAGAGGATGGTGGACTGCAGGTCGATGTTCTCCTGCGCCGACTTCATGTCGTCATACCGGCCCGACGGCGGGTTGGCCGCCGCCAGCACGCTGGTCCGGCTGCGCAGCATGGTGGTGATCCCGGCCTTGGCAATGGAGATGGTCTGCTGCTCCATGGCCTCGTGGATGGCCACGCGGTCCTCGGGCCGCATCTTGTCAAACTCGTCAATGCACACCACGCCGCCGTCCGCCAGCACCATAGCGCCGCCCTCCAGATAGAACTCGCGCGATGACGGGTCTCTGGGAGGGTGGGTGGGTGAGTGGGTGGGATTGCGGATGGGTGGGTGGTCGGTTTGTGTGGGGTGATGGAAGAGGTAGAAGTGAGGGAAGGGGTGATGGCTCAAGCATTGGTGAGTCAGGGGGGGGGGGGTGTCTGCTGGGGCTCCTGCAGACCCATCCCCCCCACCAGCCCTCTTCCTTTCCGCCATCAGCCCACCAGACCCCCCCTCCTCCGCCGACAGCCATTCTTCCCCCATCCACCCCCCCACCCGGCCCCCAATAACAGACCTGATGACGCTGGCCGTCAACCCCGCGGCCGAGGAGCCCTTGCCGGAGGTGTACACGGCGATGGGCGCGGTCTTGGAGGCAAACTTGAGGAACTGGGACTTGGCAGTGCTGGGGTCGCCCAGGAGCAGGACATTGATATCGCCGCGGCGATAGGTGCCGTCGGGCATGCGCTTGCGCGCGCCGCCGAAGAGCAGGGCCGCGATGGCGCGCTTGATGTCGGCGTGCCCGAAGATCTGCGGCGTTTGAGGTGCAGGTGATTCCAGAGGTTGGGATGGGTGGAGTTTGTATGGGGATTTGAGCAGGCAGCTTGTGGTTCTGACATGGCCTGGCGCCGGATCCCACGGTGTCCGTACAAAATCACCATGTACAGACAGGGAGCGTGCGCGCCCACCCAGCCTGCCGCGCCCCTCGCCACGCATTCACTCACGTTGGGCGCGATGCGCGCGAAGATGCGGTCCATGGCCCCCGGCTGGGCGGCAAACTCCTTGAACTCCTGCTCCTCCTCCAGGCTGCGCGGTGGTGTTGGGGTGTAAGGGGAGCATGCAACGAGGCGGCCTCCTGGTATGTTGAAATGCAACTCCTCCCTGCCGGGCAGTGTGGTCCCCCCCCCCCCCCTCACAGAAACACAATACCCTTACGAGAAGGTAGGTTTCCGGGAGGAGTCGCCGTTGATGACATCTTCCTGGAAGCCGACGATGCGGAGGTAGGACTGGCGGATGGCCACGCCGCCGGCCCTGTCCCGCGCCTTCCCCGCCTCCTTGCTCTGGTAGATGGAGAGGATGCCCACCGCGGTGACGCGCGTGCCGGGGGACACCAAGCCCACCAGGCCCCGGTCCACCAGGCACATCATGCTGCGGGGTAGGTCCCCCGTGGGCACGTCCTCGGGCCGTTCCTGCATCTTCAGGCTCTGCTGGTCGATGCACTCGGCGCGGGAGGGCAGCACCAGGTAGGGGTCCATGCCGCAGGTGTTGGAGGCCTGGCCGGGCACCGTGGAGGCGCCGCACTGGCGTGGAATGGTGACGCCGCCCACGCCGGGGCGGCAGGCCAGCCGCTGTGAGTGCCTGCAGGGAATTATGAGGTTTTTTTTTTTTTGGGAGGGGGGTGATTTGGGGACATGAGGATGGAGATGCGTCGAGGTGGGCAAAGAGGTTCATCATTATTTGTATGGAAAGAGTTCCTGGCGCTCTGGTGGGAATGGGGGGCCTCTCGTGTGTGTATAAAAGGTCTTCACACAAGTCTCACCTCTGAACCTGCAGATTATGTGTTGGCATGATTCCATTCCCCCACGGCTTCCTGCGCCACAACACCCCTCCGTACTGCGCACTTCCCTTCCCCATTCACCCACCCGCACTGGCGGCACTGGATGGTGATGTAGGTGGCCTTGTGCTTGGGCCGGGAGGCGGCGGTGATGATGCCCGGCACCATGACCAGCTTACTCACATATGACTCGGGCTGCGGCAGGAAAGGTGGGAAGGTTGGGGTGACAAGAGGAGGGGGGGAGGAACTCTACCCGGTCGATCATGGACCGAGACCATCGCGCCGCGGGCCTGCGCTCCATGCACACGCCCTGTACCCCTTGCAGCACCATGAGCCCACCTTGATGTCGCGCATGGACAGCGTGTGCGCAGCGTGCCCAGCGGGGGAGCTCTTGTGCAGCATGACTTGGACATCTGCCACATCGGGCTCGCTGCCATCCTCGGCCAGGGAGCGGATGCGCTGTGCCTCAGCCTTGGCGGCTGCCTCGAACTGAACATGGCATGGGCAAAGAGGAGGGTTGGAAGGATAGGTGACCGGGCACGACGGCCAGGGAGCATGCCGAGGATTACTGCACCTCAGGGTGACTGCATTGGGTGGTTGATGCCATTGAAACTACCAATTACTCCTGACCTCAGGCCCCATTTCAGCTGCCTACCAGGGGCAGGAAGTCGGCAGGATTTTCTGTGAGGGCACTGGCCAGGTCGGGGGCGCCGTACACGGGATGGGCAAGGTGCGCCAGATCGACCCGCAAGCGTTGCGAGCTCTTGGCAAGCTGGTCTCTGCAGATATTCAAGGGGAATGAGGTTCATAGGAGGGCAAGCGGATCGTGTGCGTCATTCGCTTCCCTGTGCGAAGATCCATGATAGCAGATGAGACAGCACTTGCAACCCTGGCTGTTTCAGGCACCATTGCAGCCGGTCCCAAAGGCTCCTGCGCCCTCAGACTCACGCATATGGGAAGCTGCTGCTCTTATTGTCGATCTGGAATGTCCTGATGAATTCCCCAAACTTGGTGAGCGCCTGCTGCTTGGTCAGGTTAACGGCATCCTCCGCTAGGCCCACGGACACGAACTGCTGATCGCTGTAAAACACGGCGCCCTCTGCACGGCGGATGGCGAGATGAGCTCGAAGAATATTTTCGCCAACAGACCACCATCGAGGCAGGTGTGTATTCTTGCACTGTACCGGAGCGCAGCACACCCCGGCGCACAAGCCCCAGAGCCCAACGTACCATCGAAGCCGGACATCGTAGCGAGCACTCCAAACTCTCGGATCCGCAATTTAATTGACCGACTAGCAACGAGACAGCAAGGGTGTGACCTCAATTGTAGCGGCCTCTTGTGCGCATGGCCTGGTTTCGGTGCCCGCAGCATGGCGCACTTTCAAAATGAGTTTGAAGGACCAGGAGTTCCCGCCACATTGCGATACAAGCTATGCAGCGTATCGACACCCCTTCAGGGCTATCCTGCCAATCTTTATCTCCCAGTCATTCCGTTACATCACATCCAGCAGAAGGTAACGACAGTCCATCGGATGACCCTGGATCCGCTCTGGCCAGGCGCTTGGCAAATGTTTGCGAGATAATCAGGGGGAAGAGGATGCTGGCGTCTCCATACACCTTGACAGGCATGGCATCCGCCCTGATCTTTCCCCAGGACACTGCTTCATCCGGTCGTGCACCTGGAAGGGGTGGATAATGGAAGGCAAGATGGTCAGTGCTGGTCGTCAGGGCCTCTGTCTAGATGTCGGGTGCCTCAAATGACACTGAATGCACCTGCGGCTGGCCCAGGTGCACTTGGAAACCATGGCTCAAGAACGATTATAATGCGCTGCGTCGCACAGCCGAGTACATGCTCGTCTCAGTGTGGAGTTGAAGCCATGCCAATCTCTTGAGTCCATCACATGCCCTCCCTCCGGGTCACACACATGAGCTGTCCATCCACTCCCCTACCCTACCCTCACATCCCCCTCACCTGAATCGCTGCCATCAAATTCTTGTGCTGTGTTGAGGAACACCGCAAAGTCTGCCCCATTCCGCATCAGGTTGGCGTTGCAGATGTGGTGCTTGGGCACGCCACCCCCGAGGATGATGACCCCCGTTTTCCGAGGGCTGGCCTTCAGGGCCTCGTCATTCATAGCTCGGATGTCAGCCACAATGTCGATCTCCAGCCCTGGCGCCTTGTAAGAATGGAAATACAGCATGTCCCCCAGGGAACCATCGGTCAGGGCCGGGCAGTAGACAGGGATGCCATTCTTCCAGGCCCAGTAGTAGATGGAGTCGGGGTGATTGATCTCCTGGCCCAGCCGTGCAATCACCTGATGGTTTGAAGGGGACGGTGGTGCATGAAGGAGCAACACGGGTCAAGGCAGTCATGCGGCGTCCTGAAGAGAAGGAGCGCTGGAGAGTGGCTGCAGAGGGACGGGGGCCGGGGCCATGCCACCCTGTTTCCCGCAAACCAGATGCCTGCTGTGACATCAGCTTACCCCGCACCCCAACCCACCTTGGAGGGCGTCCACCTCGTCCCAGCATTCTGTTGCTCAGCCAGCATGGCATCCAGGATGGGCATCACCCAGTCCTCGAACCCACAGTAGTTGGAGTTTGGCACCAGCATGTTCCCGATGCGGTTCAGGCCACGCGAGCGCAGGTCTGCACCCTTCAGGGCAAAGTCCCCCAGGTAGGTGTGGGACATGCACTGTGGGTGGCAGGTTTGGGTGGGGCTGGCTTATCCTGTTGCATGGCTGAAGGCTGGGCCGTCAAGCAAATTCAGTAGTAAGGAAGGCCTCAGTGGGAGATTGCGCCATATCACCGGCTATGTCACTCCATTGCGAAGACTCCTCATGCTTTGCCAGAACTATGAAAAAGGAGGTTGGGTGTGCCCAGCGCCACGCAGCTCCTCCCCAACCCGGCCGGTTCATAATAAAGCAAGCCCACCTTGATGAAGTCCTCCTCGATGCCCCCGGCTGTTGTCACCAGTACGTCCACGAGCTTGTGCTGCACCAGGAACTTGATGTGCTCCCGCACCCCGGCAGACACCAGGTTGGAGGTGTAGCCCAGGAACAGCTTGGCGCGGACAGAGGCTCGCTCAGCTGGCTCAACAACTGCATCTGTGTCGAGGACGTGCTCGTCCGAGAGTCTCCAGTCCAGCTGGAGATGGATTGAAGGGGGAGGGGGGAATACTGGGTTTGAGCTGCATGGTGGGTTTACGGATTCCAAGTTGAGAATGTCTCAGAGGTACTCCCTCAGCTCCCTGACTGTCAAACTCAACATCACCGACCACCAGCATCCTCAAGTCCCCATCCCGCTTCCTCACCATGCGGTTGACCTCGACGATGGCTTGACCCAGGGCGCTGGCCTGGAGGCCGGTGGAAAGCATGGATGACATCAATGCATCCAGGGTGCAGGCCTCCTTCCCAAACTCGAAGCCACGAATGAGTACAGAGTCGGAGGGTAGGTCCTCAGATGGCATGAGGACTGCCTGTGTGTCGTCGAGAAAGGAACCGGCCAAGAGTGCAGAATGTTCCCTCCTAGCCGACATGAGGCATTGAGCAGTGCTACAAGGTACACGGCATGGACTCCATACCTTGCTGGCAGCCAGCATGGCTGGCTCGTCATCACCCATGACACCAGTCCAAAGCGACTAAGCAGTTGTTCTAGGAGCTATTGGAGTCCTGGTCCTCTTGCTGTACACCTGCCTCGCCGACGAGGGTCCTTCGCACGACACTGTCCAATGTCTCGACAAGCTTGCCAGCGAGGCATGAGTTATGTTCGCATATGCGAAATCAATTAATTCCAGATGAAATGAATATTGAATTCCTTGAATCTCGGAGCGATTTCTAGTTAAAAATGCCGTCCGCATGGTCGCAAGTTTTCGCGCGCGCTGCTCTGCTGCCGAGAAGTCTACCACCGTCCCGCCGGGTGCATAGTTGGTCTTCCAACCACTGGGTCCTATACAGTACAGGATGGCAATCACAAGTGGTAGCATGCCATATAATGTTGCTTGACGGTCGCCACTCCAACAATGCCCAAGCGCACATTCTGGCTCCCTCAACCCCGGTTGAAATATGCCTGGACGGGTGTGTGAAAGGGCAGAGCGTAAGCATCAAGCAGGGTGCCCGACCTGTGGTGTCACACAGTCCTAAGCAAGGCATGTACTGGAACAGTTATAGACTCTCACTCCACCCAAACAGCCAAAACACCAACTCCCAGCGCACCTTGATTCCGGCACTGACGAGGCCGGAGGTCACTCCCTTCAACTGCGCCTGCGCCGCCTTGGAGCACTTCAGGTACCCCGCAAGGTTGGCCCCGGACAGCAGGGTGGCAATGACCACCAGGAGGAGGTAGTCCAGGTTGAGCTTGAGCAGTGCCACCAGACCCAGGAGGCACCAGAGGGGGGGAGTGATGTACAGGACCAGCCAGAAGACACGCGCATCATGCTTGTTGACGGTGCGCTGACCCTCCGCCAGGGACTCGAACTTCCAGTCGCTGCCACCGGTCTCAGACACCTCGTTCCACCACCGCAGCCCCACCAAGAGCCGGCCAGACACATTCTTGACCTGCATGGAGGTGGTTTGAGGAGGGAGGCCTCTTCAGATGCTGGATCTGGAGCGGCGAGGCCTGCCCAGGTGTAAATTTTCTTCCGACATTGAAGGCAGCCTTCAGGAGGTCCACCCTCTGCATGGGCCGTTCGGAACCACGCCCAGGTGACATCTACCCACAAAGCACCACCCACCGTCCAAAAATCACAGACAAGGAGGAATGTGATCACGCAAAAGTTGATGACGAAACCGGTCCCAAACAGGCCGCAGAGGACGTAGTAGAAGATGGCAGAGAACTTGAAGAGGACGAGGAAGAGTGCAGCGGTGGGGTGGGCATAGCTGGGAGGCTCAGCCACTGCCCCGTTTGGGCCTGGCGCAGCATCGGCCACTGTACAAAGTGAGAAGAGGGGGAGATGAATTCGGATCACCTCTGCATGGACTGGCACAACCCCTCTCAGCTCTGCGTGGCCAGATCACTCACTGGTGGACTCGCACGTCCGACCAAACAGGGGCGCTGGGACGACTTCGGACTCCTGTGACTTCAGATGTAACTATGTGGACCAAGAACGTCTCAAAAACCACCCGCAACGCCCAGATCGAGATATTCTCCGCGGTGCGGTCCAGTCAAGGTTTCAAGTGGTGGGGCCAGTGGCACTCAGGGAGCTGCTGATGGAGCTATGTTGTTCTTTGTGACAATGAATTAGGAAGGACGGAATTTGGCATCGCATGTGGGCTCCGGGGTGCTGAGAGAAACAGTGCTCGCGCCCGCGCTCCATCGGCGATCGGATGCCCGCTAGGAACCTCGGCTCAGGTGACAAGACTAAGGTGGTCCACACCACTCGGCGGTAGGTTCAGGATTCTGACAAATCTCCTTTGCTTTTGGCACGCTTCACTCTCCACACATTCTGCTGAATGGGTGCCATTTGCAGCAGCAGCAGCCATCCACGTGGCTCATTATGCTGCGACCACTACATGCTTCGCACCAAAACCGACGGAAAACGGTCATCGCCGTGTCCGCTTCAGGGCAGCTTCAAGACCAGGCATGGGATTGTCATCGTCTGCAGGGTTCTTTGGTGCAAGATCAGCCCCCCTGTCGCGTTTCTGCACCTGCAGTGTAGCTGCTGGGGGCTCAGCCGCAGCCGCCGCCTCGTGAAGCCGAGGGTGCGGCTGAGATGCCTCGCTCGTTTCATCACTCCGGATGGCCGGCTCAGCAGCATCTTGTTTCCTGGCAGTTGGCTCAGCGGCATCTTGTTTCCTGGCACCCGGCTCGGCCGCGGGGTATTCCCCCTGCTTCTGGAACACGAATGTGGCAAAGAGACGGGATGCCTGCTCCAGGCTGGGGTGGCTGCCAGGAAAGCGTGGCAGGAAGTGTTTCAGCGGCTTGTTGGCGTCAGCCTTGGGGAAGTTAGGAGATGGGAGGTCCAGGGTCAGTGGCTTCTGGCGCAGGGTCTCAGCAGGTTGTATGTCTCACAGTAATGCACGAAGCGCTGTGCATCCCCAGGTTTTAGAGTCCGTCCATGTTCCCTCCTTGAATCCCAAGCCTTCTCACCGGGTCAAGGACGTTTTCCAGACTGGGCATGTCGTACTGCAGGACAGGTACGAGGCCGTACTGCGCCGCCACCCCGACAAACACGTTGGAGTAGACGAGGTACTCCAGAGACCCCTCCGTGCCCTTCTCAGCTGCAGTAGGATGTGACAAGGGCGTTGTGTCTTGGACTCAGTGGCAATGGGTGATGGTGTGGGAGGAATCACTCTCCGTAAGACACGTCGGCTGTCACAACTCTCACTCAAGCCAAGGCACTCTGTCCATCCCTTCAGTCACCGCCACCCACCGTCCCCTCGACTCACATCCTGTCACAGTGTCTCCAATGGCGCAGATGTAGGCGCTCCCAAAACAGCCAGGCGACCCTTTCCACCTGGCCTCCACAGTGAGCATGGGAGATTGATAGGTCAAGGAGCCCCGGATGCACTCATTCACCCGCCGCCCGTCGGGCACGGTCCCAAAGAAGTAGCCGCCTGGCTTGAGGTTGATGGACACGTTGTGCAAGAACTGTGGATGGGTGATGTCGGAAGGGATGTCGAGCATGTTTAGCATCTTGATGACGGAAGTGCAAGAGGTTGGCGTACATGGGAAATGGAGTCAGCGAGTCATCCCACACCAAACACAGATACATCAAGGACATGCAATCAAAGCAGACTGGAATTGTCAGCATTTTGGCACCCATCCACCAGGCAGTCGATGGGGTCTAGGCCACAGGTCAATAGGGCTGCCAGCCCCCCAAGACCAGAAGCATTCCCCCACCTGCTTGAGGGCCTTCTCTGCAACGAAAAAGTAGTGGACGGCAAACATGCATGTCACTGCATCGTATCTCTCGCTCTCCTTACACTCGCTCAAGCCCAGCTCTGGCGATGCCTCAAAGCTGTAGTCCAGGCTTAGTTCCGACTTTCGAGCCTGTGCCTCTGAGAACCTAGATGCGCACACATGAGGGAGGTGGATGAGAGACGTCTTCGCCAATCCCAGGCATCGGCGAGTTGCACCAAGGCGACGCTGGACTCGAGTGGCATTAGCACTTCACCTCGGCATTGAGCAAGACTCCCTGCACCTCATCAGGGTACGATCGAGCCACAGGCACAGGCACAGCCATGCATCTCTGCCTATCAGCCTGCTTGCCAGCCTGCTTGCCAGTGCCCTTGATGGATTCACCAAATACAACTCTTTCCCCTCCCACCTGGCCCTGGCCTCCTCAATTTCATGGGGGGAAAGGTCGATGCCCTTCACACATGGGATCCCGGCATCAATCCACTTCCAGATGTCCCCGCCCCGGCCGCATGCTAAATCTAGAAGGCGAGGAGCTCCCTTGGCAAATCTGCAGAGGGCAAACAAGGTGTGGCCTTGAGACATCCTAACGCTCATGCATAGTCCAAGATCATCGTCCCTGGTCTTGATCCAGCATGCCTGTTTATCAGGTGGCGCTTGATATAGTTGTGAAACTTCTTGAGGGGAGCCCCGGGCCCAGATGCTCGCGCGGCTAGAGCCTCCTGAGTGCTGCCGTACTGGTTCGAGTGCTTGTTGTAGTGTTCTCGGGTGTACTCGAGGGCCTGGCGATCCATGCGACGTTGGCCGTTGTGACGGAGGGGCGCAGGTGTGACCAAGGTCCCTGCTCCTCATGCAAGTTCAGTGGGATGTGGCTTGCAAGAAGATGAAGCTGTCATGTTTCGAACGTTTAGATGTCGCAACAGGTGTTGAGATGGAGGCGCAGGACAGCTTGCGTGTGTACCCGGTGGGCATCAAGGCTCCCGACAGCACGCAGCGCAGGGCGCACAGATGTGCCTGAGCAATCGGGCATCCTAGCCCAGATGGATGCGAATGGAGGTAACTAAGGGCGCATGTTTGCCAAAAAAACTCGAATCCAATCCATTTGCCGTTTGGCCTGCGCTGGCAGCAATCCTCGAGTGACTCCTCGGCACTTGCATGGCCGTATCCTAGGGAGTGAGCCAACCGACCCCGTCCATGCCAGCCGCCCACACGGCCAGCGCAATGCCTAGCATGGCGCAGGGTTTCTCGTCCCTCCCCATTGCCCGCCCCATGCGTGCCTCTGCTGGGAATGCTCGGCCCCTACAGTCTCGGTCTCACAGGCGGTGCCGGGCAACACCCCTAAGAGTCACAGCCTCCGGTCAGAACGTGCTGCTCCTCGGCTCTGGAGGCAGGGAACACGCCCTTGCCTGGAAGCTTGCCCAGTCGCCCGACTGCGGTCGCCTGTTTGTGGCGCCTGGGAACGCAGGGACGGCCCTGGAGCCCAACATGACCACCGTCTCGGGGCTGAATCCCTCCAACCACAAGCAGGTTGGTGCGAGAGAGACAGGGGAAAAGAAGGAGAGGGCCGAGAGGAGAATGACCTCTGTACAGGATGTGGCCGGGTGCTCATGCTGTGGGTTCACATGTAGGCCGCCCCTGCCAGTCATAGAGTGAGGAAAACACCCCGCTCCCTGGGCACACTAGCTCTCACCCAGCAGCGTAAAACCCCGCACACACCACATGCACACGAGCCTTCATTCCATCCGCGCAGGTGATCGACTTCTGCCGCGGCAACGGCATCCAGCTGGTGGTGGTGGGTCCGGAGCAATACCTGGTCGAGGGCGTGGTGGACGCGCTGACGGAGGTCGGGGTCGCGGCCTTCGGCCCCAGCGCCGCCGCGGCGGCGCTGGAGGGCTCCAAGGCCTTCATGAAGGGCCTGACCGCCAAGCACGGCATCCCCAGCGCGGGGTACGGCGTGTTCACCGACCCGCGGGAGGCCAAGGCTTTCATCCGGGCGCATGGTGCGCCCATCGTGGTCAAGACCAGCGGCCTGGCGGCGGGGAAGGGCGTCACCGTGGCGCACAGCCTGGAGGAGGCTTACGAGGCCGTGGACGCCATGCTCACGGGCGGCGCCTACGGGCGCGCGGGCGAGGAGGTGGTGGTGGAGGAGTTTCTGACAGGGGAGGAGGCCTCCTTCTTTGCGTTTGTGGATGGGGAGACCGTCATCCCGCTGGTCGGCGCCCAGGACCACAAGGCGGTGGGGGAGGGCGACACCGGGCCCAACACGGGCGGCATGGGCAGCTACTCGCCCGCCCCGGTGCTCACCCCGCAGCTGGTGGACCAGGCCATGCAGACCATCATGTACCCTACCGCCCGCGGAATGTGCTCCGAGGTGGGCTGGAGGAGGAGGGGAGATTGGAGACGGGGGGGATGGGGGAGTGGCTGATCTGGCATGGAATGGTTGTTTGTGTTAACAGAGGGTCCACCAGGGGGTTGGGGAGATCAAGAGGGTGTGTCACAGAGGCAGCCTGGCAGAGGAGGTGCTGAAATGTCGCAATGGCCTGGACCTCCAGCCACTCTACCGGGCATGTCTGTCCTTCCCTCCTCTGATGCCGGGTCATAGTGGATGGTGCCTCAAATGGGTGACCCAAGCCTCGACCCCACTGGTTTGGTCCATTGCCCCCCCAGCGCCGGCCCCCCCCCCCCCATGCAGGGCCGCCCCTTCCGCGGCGTGCTCTTCGCCGGGTTCATGATCGAGGGGTCGCAGGTGAAGCTGCTGGAGCACAACGTGCGCTTCGGTGACCCGGAGTGCCAGTCGCTGATGGTGCGCCTGCGCTCCGACCTGCTCTCCACGCTGCACTCCGTGATCCAGGGGGAGCCCATC